TGTTACTGACACTGACAATTCTGATAATAAACCGAAAACGTCATTAAGTGAGTTTAGAACACTAAAGTTAAGCCTAATTAAAACTTTGAATTCACAGAAAGTTATAAGGTATTAAAATAAGCTGCAACGCTTATTATTTTAATCCAATTTTGCTTATTTTAATACCAAAATGGATTAAAATAAGCAAAATTTGTATTGAAATAATCAGCGTTGCAGATTATTTTAATGCCTTTTAATTTTCTGTGTTACCATGAGACAGTAAGGGAAATATTTTTATTTAAAAATCAGGGTTTTGCTTTTAGTATACGAAATAACAGATTTAAACAATTGATGTTTTCTTTGGCTTTAAATAAAAAAAATATTTGAAACCAAATAAAAGAGTCAACGATTTATGGTATATCCAAACCACATATTCAATAGCAGTAGTTCATTTTTTGCTCAAAATGAAAGGAAAAGAATTTCATTTCAATGATATAACACTTTTGACAAAGCGTACTCCAGATCCATTTGTTGCTAAAACATTGGAAGAATCATCATCAAAGACAGAAATTCGTTATCACTTGCATGATATTTCGCATAATGGATTTGTGGATTTACATAAATTTAACTTTGAATTTGTTGATGATTACATTACATTTCCCAACCTGTTCTTTCGTGTAAAACTTGCTCAGCTTACTGATGACGATAAAGTTCTACACATTGAATTAACTGAGAACAAGGTAAAATAAGTAAATAATGAGTTTTTAAATCATATTAACGATGCAAAAAAATTTGCATAAAAGGATGATTTATTTCAAAAGAGCTGCAGAATTTTTAACAATTAATGTACCATTACATACGATAGAATCATCAGAGAAACTTTTGATGAATTACATTTTCAAATATACAAACACACGTTATCGTCCTAGTTACGATAAATTTGCCACAGATTATTATACTGCCGTGTTTTCTAAAAACTTAGGTAACTTCAAAAAAATCGAAAAATGAGTTTTTTATATCGTTGGAATCGTGGAAAAAAGATATACACCTGTTAATGCAAATTATTTTTAAAAATTGTTAATATTATTAATAATAATTTTTGCATAAATAATTGAAAATACCGGTAACTGCAAAAATTGATGAGTGATAATTTGAGAAACTTAGGTAACTGCTATAAAAACTGGGGTGTCTTTGGGTGTTGTGACGTATTTTGTAGGTCGTGATTTGAAGAACTTAGGTAACTGCACCCAAGGCAGAAATCGACGACCGGTTTGGTACCGGGCCGGTGTCGAAGGCGGACTTGCCGGTACCGGCGGAAGTCCTGCATTTCCGCCGGCTCGTAGCTGGTCCAGTCAACAATGATAACTCGATTAATAACCGACCCAATCGTTTATTAGTTCCGGGCCGGTACTAATAAACAACCGGTGTGGTACCGGGCCGGTTAAACAAAAAAAAAATAAAAACATTATAACACTTTTCTGCTGGCGTAATGCTGGCATGGTATCTGTTTATTACATTATGTACATATGTGTATTATTATTAATTTAATTAATTTAATCATTATTATTTCTTAATTAATATCAGTATATAGAATGCTGAAACAGAGTTATAATTAAAAACACCATAAACAATTAATTAAAATTTGAAGACACAAGGAATTGAACTCCCGACCCTGAGGCTGCAAAGTCGATGCCACATCCACTAACCTAAACCTGCTTGTGAAAAGTAACTGCAAAGTGAGCTTATCAACTATAACTGCGGGTAATTTCAAACTTTATTAAACGGAATACAAATAATTTTATATATACTTATATCATATACTTACGAATCATAAAAGAAAGTTTCTTACCTTTGTTTCAAGACGTATCAGAGAAGTAATTTTCTTTCTTTCAAATAAATATTTTGGTGACGAAAAAGCGGACTACAATGTCGGTACCAGGCCGGTACTGATATTGCTGCCAGCATAAATACTTAGGAGCTAAAACTGCGGACTCTGATGTCGGTACCGGGCCGACGCCGAGCCGGTACTAATGTTACTGCCGGCATAAATACGTTGGTGGTGTAAAAGCAGACTACAATGTCGGTACCGGGCCGGGGTCGGGCCGGTACTAATATTGCTGCCGGCATAAATACTTAGAAGCTAAAAATGCGGACACTGATGTCGGTAACGGGCCGACGCCGAGCCGGTATTATGTATATATATAATTATACCTAAATAATAATTTATCAATTATTGAAAAATTAAGTATTAAATTTAATAAATGACATAAAAGCATTAATAAATTAAGAAAATGAAGTTCAGCAATATGTTTATTTCATGATTAACATATAATTAATTTAGTTCAATTATTTAAAAAATTAAAATCGTTTTTAATTATTTAAATAAACGTTAATAAAGCAGCGAACTACATTACCTACAATAATTTGACTTTAATATTGTATAATTAAAATAAATTCAATCATATAGTTTAATATTTGTAAAAAACAATAATTATAATGATAACTTTCTCAGCTTATTAAATAATTAATTATAGTTTATTATTTAATATATTTTTACTATTTTTTGCCAAGAAAGATGAAAATTCTTATATATTCCCTGTAGTTACCTAAGTTTTCTGTGCGACGAAAGGCCTAATACAGGCGCTCGTAGCACGAGGGACCAAGTAACTACCAGTTACCTAAGTTTCTCGTGCGACGACCCTCGAATCAGCATACCGGTAACTACATTTTTAATAATTTATTGAATGTTTAAACAAATACAACATTTATTTTTACATAATTAAAAAGAAGAAATTTAGACGAATCGAAGGAACAAAACGGCATTTAAAAATTTTAATTAGGCTTTGCGGTACATATCAATGAAGTTTAAACAGTTTTTCGCGTTTTTCTCGTAATCTTTCATTCTGCAGTTACCTAAGTTTTTAGAAAACACGGCAGTCTACACAAATATATACGATAGAAATTGAAGTTTAAATTTTATTTTTTATTATAAGCTACTTCGGAATAATTTAAATTTTAGTCAAATTTTGATAAGAACAAAATCACTAATGAATTATATATTCCAATGACTTAAGAGATACATTAGAAACTAAACTCATTTACATTTTTGTTAATTAAAGTTTATTTTATGTGTTTGTTTGTACAAACTTTATATTTGTAATAAGAAGGAATAAAATATTTCATTGTAGAAGTAATAATTTCAATAAATACTTAATACTATGAGTTTGTGTATTGAACATTATACTTTATTTAACAAAGAAACTCAAAAATATACGTAAGGAAGACAAGCACAAAAAGTACATGGATATAATTTTTGTGTATTTTTTAATTTTAATTCCAATAGAATTGTATCTCTTAAATATTTTAAGACTTATCTTCATTTCCAGATAACCCTATTTCATCTAATATAGAAATATCAATTTATTTCATCTTCTTCACATCTTATTTATAAGAATTTTCATTTGGTACAATTCCTTGGCGGATTGTGTGAACTGAGTTTGCACCAAGTACAGTCCAAAGTCGGTCAAGTTTAGTCCAACTAAATACTGTAATAAATTAATGAAATATGTTGAAATAAATCAACCTTTCATGAACCTTGCATTGAAATATTTCAAATCATTGAATAAAATATTTAGAAAATATTATGTGCTGCATGGGAAGATATGCGCAGGATATTTTAAGGGTATCCAGTTAATAATTCCTTTACAAGATTTTGTACAGGATCTTGTACAGAAACATTAAAGTTCATTTAAAACCCACTTTCGTAACAAAAATCCGCCTTTTTGAGTAAAGTAATGATATCATTGCGAAGCCTCACTTCTGAGTATCTTTCGTCCTGTCATCATATTACTGTCACATCACCGTAACATTTTTTTATATTTATTTATGTGTAGGAGGCAAAGCGAAATGAAACACGAGTGTATTTCAGTTTAGAAATAATCTTTATTCAAAGAGGGATGGTTCATGACTGACTGTCACTAGCCTTTCGCAAGGTTTTTATAACTTTACCTGCTTAAGGTGTTTACATAAAATAAAAATTAGGAAGGGGGTCCTAGGTTTTTTTCGCAAACGATCCTTGAGGCAAATTACAGAAGTAAGAAAACAGTGTTTTATTACTTCTGGAAAAACCCAAAAAGCAGATGTAGAGAAATATGTATTTAATATAATAAATAAAATAGTTGTTCCCTACATATGTAAAATTAATTTTTTAAAATACATTTGTAAATAAATAATTGTTTTTAAATAAACAAATATTTGTAAATAAACAATTATTTATAAATAAAACGAATATTTGAGAGTAAATTAATTGTTTATAAATATTAAATGTGTAATAAAATAATAACATTAATTATCATAATTAATGTTAAAATATATCAATATATAAAAATTATAATGTTTCTTTGGGATGTAGTGTTCTTGTCATTTTGTGTTATTAAAATAAGGAAATCAACATACGGAGTCACCAACACACAGAAGAAAAGCAATGAAACACTTTTCATGTCTGTGAGGTACCGATCTTGAATCTAACCCAAAGAGGCGAGCTGGTACCGCCGCGAAGAATACATTGAAAAATATACCTACATAAAGGGAGACCTTTCACTTGTTAATCGTATCGAGTGTCAAATAAAGTTCCAAAATATATACATCGAAGTGTCATTATAGTTAAAAAGTTAAAATATTACATATTCAGAAGTTTTCGTCAGTTACGGTCCTGCCTAAAATATACCAGTGTCAATGCGGTAATAAAAATTTTACAACTTAGAAGATTTAGGAGACCCGGTGTTCGAAAAAGGGAAAAACTAATAGAAGAATCTTCACAGATTATTTAAAGGTAAAATATGAACCTTTCAAAAATAAGGATTTATTTGATTGTATAACACTAATTGTTAACAACATTTTTTTAAATAAATAATTTTTATATTATATTTCTATTCATTCATTTAATAAACCTCTTCCCAACTTAGTTAATTTAACTAAGTTAAATTGAGGAAATTAGAATAGGGAACAATTATAAGTTCAGATTAGATAAAATTAATATTTATTTAAAATATGACATAACATTACTAACGTAAAAATTTTCTTTAAACACCGCGGCTGCTTGAGGACTTTGACCTATCCTTAAACAATATTTTTACATCCTTTTCTTACTGTAATTGTATTATACAAGTAGAAACAAATTTATAACGTTATAAAAATTTTATTTTACAAAACTTAAATTGCAACATTAACTATACATCATTTTAATTAATAAATTTTTATAATTTTTTATAATGATTTTACAGATGATATAACTGTGAAATATGAAGCAGCATTAATTAAAATCTGAAAATAAAAATCCAATATATATTGTATGACCAAAAATAGCTTGATAGAAAGATTATAAGGTGTTCACATTTTATAAAAATATTCATACCCTTGCAAAAGTGTTAAAAGACATATCAAAAAATTTTCCTCCTGTTATTTTACACATTTTTTGCGACCTAATTAACATAAGATACAAAATTGTTTTTGTTTTGGATGATGCGTTATACCAATTAGCATCATATCTGCAATTATAATAAAATAATTTTTAATCTATAAGAATAACATGCACAAAAACAATTTTTAATAACAACTTAAATGAATTTTTTAATTAATATAATTTTAAATTCGGTTTTCTTTATTTAATTATTTTAGCGTTTTCATTGATTAATAATAAAATATATTTATAATTACATTTTTTTACTTACATAGACTTTCTAAACAAGATACTGTGATCAATTAATGTTTGACATTGCAAAAATTTGTTGAATAGTTGAAAAATCTCAGCCAATGTCAAAACCAGGAATGTTATCATAACATTCGAAGTATGTCGATAATCATGAGCCTAAAATATATTTAATGAATTTGCTATACATGGTTTAAAGTAATACTTATTATATTTAAACATTTATTTTTAATTTAATAAGCTGGCAAACTTGGGTTTAAACGAGGAGTGGGACAAAACGGAGAATTTATATTTTGTAAAGCAGGTGATACCATCTATCAATGCAAAAATATGAAGAATGAATATAAAACAATATAAAATATAAGAAACTGAATTTAGTTAACGTTGCGCTTAACCCCTGATGTTCGGTTGGTCGATCGCACTCCCTCTACACTAATGTCCTGGACATTTCCCTGTCTATAAAATACGTATAGGTACCTTTAACATATCGCGGTCGCGTTCAACTGGTGGTTTCCGCAATTTTGAAACTTGTTACTCGAGGGTTTTCGGGGCCGCTGAATTCGAATCTGATGTTAATTTTTCAAAATTCAAAATGGCGGATCCAATATGGTGGATGACAAAATTAAAGTTGATCGGATTCGCTGGAAACTTGTTACTCGGAAGTTATCGGAGCTGCTGAATTAGAATATGATGTTAGTTATTCAAAATGGCTGATCCAATATGAAGAGCTACTTAAAAAGCATCATTTGTTTTGATCAGACAGAGAAACCGAATTTAGAAAAATATGTCCGCTATATTGGATCCACCATTTTGAATATTGAAAAACTAACATCAGATTCGTAATCAGCGACCCTAAAAACTGAAGTTCACACAGTTTCAAAAATTTTGGTGGTGAAAAGGTTTCTTTAACATTTTTGAACCTACATTTAAGATTTTTCTCGTCACAGCGAAGGGGTTAACGTATTTTTAAGAGAGAGAGACGAAATTTCAACGTAGCTACCACAAGTGGAATATTTTTCCCATGATTCCCTATGATTTCTGATCCTAATAGTAATTATAGCAAAATTCATTTTTTTCTACGAGTAACAATTCCTTTACAGTTACGTATACAATCCCCGTTCTGGCCCCATTCTCCTCTACATATAAAAAAAAACATTTATGTGGAATTAAATTAATAATATTCAACGATAAAAAATAACTAATCAAACTTCTGTTAATATAAAAAAATTATAATAGAGAATTATTTCTGTAAATTATTATATATGTATTATGTATTTAATATTAATAATGTTTACCACGAATGATGAAAAACTTAAAACAACCGTGAATAAGGTAATTGATAATAGAAGTCCAACAGAAAAGGTAGAATTAAGTTGATCTACAAATCTGTATAAATAAAATTATGTTTATATTTAAAAAATAGAAGTTTAATAGAAATGTATACATATGGGACGTTTCACGTCAATCGAGCAACCCTGACGACCAAAAAAATCAGTTTCTTTGTCAATTAAAAAATTTTACTAAACAACCTGCAAATTTTTAATTTTACATTTTTTAAAATAATTTTATAGGTTTATTCTCTCCTTTTACTTTTCAGTAACCAAAAAAAATTTGGAATGTTGATTTTAGATCTATGGATTAAATACAACAACTGCCATATTGGATTTTTCGAAAGGCAACACATTTTTAAAAGTATACCAATATATACCAAAGATATATTTTAGTATAAGTAATACTTTTGAAACCTCATAATTTCGGCCATTGGAGTGACAGGATTTGACCTGAAACGTCCCATAAATAAATTTAAATTTTATTTCGGAAAAATCTTAAAAAGATTAAATTAGTTTAAATTTTTACAGATGAACTTACTCAATAATAATATTATGTATTTTCACGCATTCAGTAGCATCTGTACAACTTTTGTCTTGATTTTTATTAGCATTTTGCTGCACAAAAATTGTATTATCTGCATCTATATTTTGTAAACGTTGCCTGTAAAATATTTAATATTTTAACGTATCATTGATATCTATTTCTTTTTAAATTTTATTCAAACATGTGTCACGTCACCGTAACTATAATATTCATATTATAAGAATTCTTAAATCTATACCGAGTTGCGTTTTTCTTGCAACAAACACCCGTGTTTTTGTTACGATTTCTAAATACTTTTCTCTTAAATGTTAAATTTCCGCTCTTTTGTCGCGCTACTAAACATCTTTCTTTTATATATAAAAGACCCCTGCGTTTTGTATTCTTCTACGTCTATATACTGTATTTCTAAAAACAAACAAATAGAAGCGAGAAATCTTTTATGACACTAGAAGAGATCACACCCCCACGAAACAAAATGCTCTCTTTCTAATTTTCCCTATGTGACGAACCCCTGTAGTATCACCACGTTAGAAGACCACAAAAACTCTTCTACAACTGCGAATAACCGTAGTCGTACTCTTTCTATCTTGTATTAGAATGGTTCACACCCCCCATTTCTACGTTCAACTGAGAGAGAAGGACTCAACTTTGGCTTCCAAAATAAGGGTGAAAAATATATAGTACGACAATAAAATTTTATCTATTCTCTTACGAAAAATCAGTATAAAAGGACTACATTTTCACGAAGAGATCAGTTCTGAAATCATCTTCATACGTATAACATCAAGCTCATTTTCGGTACCAGTCGACGTCTTCTAGTTCAAGTGCATAATTTTCTTATACGAAAGTTAAAATCAAGTGTCAAAACCCTCTACATTACTGCCGTGTTTTCTAAAAACTTAGGTAACTGCAGAATGAAAGATTTCGAGATAAACGCGAAAAACTGTTTAAACTTCATTGATATGTACCGCAAAGCCTAATTAAAATTTTTAAATGCCGTTTTGTTCCTTCGATTCGTCTAAATTTATTTTTTTTAATTATGTAAAAACAAATGTTGTATTTGTTTAAACATTCAATAAATTATTAAAAATGTAGTTACCGGTATGCTGATTCGAGGGTCGTCGCACGAGAAACTTAGGTAACTGGTAGTTACTTGGTCCCTCGTGCTACGATCGCCTGTATTAGGTCTTTCGTCGCACAGAAAACTTAGGTAACTACAGGGAATATATAAGAATTTTCATCTTTCTTGGCCAAAAATAGTAAAAATATATTAAATAATAAACTATAATTATTTAATAAGCTGCGAAAGTTGTCACTATAATTATTGTTTTTTACAAATATTTAATTTTATGGTTAAATTTATTTTAATTATACAATATTAGAGTCAAATATTGTATTAACTCAGAATATATTAAATAATAATATAAAATAAAATAAAAATAATACAAAAATAAATTTAAAAAAATATTAAATAATAAAGTGTAATTATTTAATAAGATGCGAAAGTTATCATTATAATTATTGTGTTTTACAAATATTAAACTATATGATTGAATTTATTTTAATTATACAATATTAAAGTCAAATTATTGTAGGTAATGTAGTTCGCTGCTTTATTAACGTTTATTTAAATAATTAAAAACGATTTTAATTTTTTAAATAATTGAACTAAATTAATTATATATTAATCATGAAATAAACATATTGCTGAACTTCATTTTCTTAATTTATTAATGCTTTTATGTTATTTATTAAAATTAATACTTAATTTTTCAATAATTGATAAATTATTATTTAGGTATAATTATATATATATATATATAATATTGGAGTTTTTTATTTTATTATTTATTGTTATTATAAATTATTAATTGCAGAAAAAACATAGTAATTTTAAAGAAATGTATAAGATTTTGCAGTTACTTGGTCCTTCAAATTACGATCCTCCTTTTTCGAGGTCTCGTCGCATGGAAAACTAAGGTAACTACTGTGCTCTGATAGCACTCTGTAGTTACCTAAGTTTTCCATACGACGAGGGCTCGAAAAATGAGGTCCGTGTTTTGAGAAACTAAGGCACTGTGCAGTTACCTAAGTTCTTCAAATCACGACCTACAAAATACGCCACAACACCCAAAGACACCCCAGTTTTTATAGCAGTTACCTAAGTTTCTCAAATTATCACTCATCAATTTTTGCAGTTACCGGTATTTTCAATTATTTATGCAAAAATTATTATTAATCATATTAACAATTTTTTAAAATAATTTGCATTAACAGGAGTATCTTTTTTCCACGATTCCAACGATATAAAAAACTCATTTTTCGATTTTTTTGCAGTTACCTAAGTTTTTAGAAAACACGGCAGTTTAAACGAGGATCTTACTTCTCATTATATTGGGCAATTATCCATTCTTCCTTTTTGGAAGAGACTCATTATTGGGAGTTTCATCACGCCTAATAGAACTCCGGACCTGCGGTTATACCTGAGCCCGTCAACCTTCCTGACGTCATAAACTCACGCTGGTACCAGCTCTTTTCCTGTGACAACTAAGGAGACTGCAGTGGTCTTTTTTCTTTCAACACACCTACTACTGAATTTTAAGGTAAATCTTTTATATTCTCAATCCTAACTTTTCTAAACTTGTCGTATATTGGTAGTAACCCTTGCATTCCTTATTTCAGTTGAATGCTGAACTCTATTTCCTGGATTGGTTGGTTCGAGATTCCCTCTCTCTCTCTCATAAGAACGAATTGTTGTAACTAAAAATACTTTTCTAAATAAATTGTAACCTAATTATAAAATTAGTAACTATTCTCTTTCTTTCTTGTACCCTTAGTTCAGAGCCTTCTGCTCTGTAAATGAAACAGGTATACCCTGAATCACCGAGCGGCCATAAATAAAATATTATTTCGTTAGTTATTTCTCTATTTGAGACGTAACACATGCAAACTTTATAATAATAAAAGTATATTCCTAATAACGATAAAAATATGTATTTTTCTTACATTAATATTGCAAACATTCCACAGGCATGTTGAATAAAAAGGACAAATAATGTATCAAAAGCAACAAATGTAGTGACTTGAGCAATGATACCGAAAAATGCCATCAGAAGAATATAGTTATAATAATTTTTAATATTGTAGAAATTTTTTACTGGATAGAAGAGATAAAAGGTTGTTTCCCTTGCATATGAATGTGAATCAGTAAAGTTTGAATATAATTCAATAAACATGTTTACGATAATAGGTCCATACATACTCCCTAAAATACCATTAAAAAATGACAATTAATAACATTATTTTATTAATTATTTTACTGATATTACATTTTAACTATAAGAATAAAAATCATATACAAATTGTATTCTTGAAAAGAAATAGTGAAGATTATGCTTTTGAATTCAGAATATCAAAAAATATTTAATATCACTTGCATGCAAAAGTTATAGTTATTTTTCGAGTTTTGTCGGCATATTTTTCTAATATGACTTTTTCTTCAGGAAGAGAATATTGCCAAGTGTAATAGACACAATTCAAAGTTTTTTTTATCTGTAAAAATGTATATAGATTTCAACTCTGTTAAAAATAACAAATAGTAATATTTGATTGAGACATTCCAATAAAAGAAAGAGATTTTTGAATTATAATTGGTGATCAATATGAATTCATCTTTCGGCAAAATTTTAAAAAGAAAAAAAATCATTAATCGCGTGACAAAATATAAGAATACTAAAAAACTTACTCTATTGAAGTTTATTAACCACAAAATGATATTTCCTGTAACTACACAGTCAATAATAATATATGGGATAGTTTCTAAAGTAACGTCAATATCTCCTTCAATTGATGCCACTATTATAGTTCCTACCTTAAAATATGAAATTGAGCACTTTTTACAATTTAAATATTTAATTCTCATTAAATTTTCCCAGACAAAACTTGTTTTAAATACAGAATATTTTTCATCAAAAATGATAAACCTACCTGTAGAAATGTCGTAAAAAAATTGAAAAAGATGAAGAGTGAAGCGTAAATTTTTTGATACACATTTAACTTAAGTGGCCATAGACCTATAGAAATTAATAAAAACCTGTTAATTTTATATTGTGAGATTGTAAAAAAATGATCCATTTTTCAGAAGCTTATTAAGAACTAACAGAAATACGCGTTGTATACCTTCAAAGACAATTCTAACTATAAATTTTTCTTCTCTTTTTTTGGTCAATGTTTGTAGAATTTTTGATACATATATAGTATTTATTTACACTAATATCAAAAGAATTGTATAATATTTAGAATGATTTATTGATGTGAATAAATGTACAATACAATGTATAAAACTATTCTAATCGAATATTTTACTTTTGTTGTTTATGTTTTTAATTAAAAGTTAGGTATTTGTTTGGAAAACAAATATACATATAATTAATGTATTATTTTCTGTTGAATTAAAATTAGACAAAATAGGTCAACTTTGTAAGTAAACATTTTGTTGATTTCTGAAAAAGTAAAAACATTAATGGAAATCAGTTGTTCGTAACGAAACAAAAAAACACTTTAAACCTTTTTAGAAATTGTAATTGTATATAAATTTTTATGAAATTTGAAAAATTTAATAACTTACATATAATTAATAAATTAAATTAAATTAAATATAATAATATAATTCATCTTTCAGCAAAATTTTAATGAAGTAAAAACAAATATTCGTTAAACGCGTGACAAAATGCAATATAAGAATACTAAAAAAACTTACTCTAATGAAGTTTATTAACTACAAAATAATATTTCCTATAATTACACAGTCAATAACAGCATATGGGATACTTTCTAAAATAACATCAATATCCCCATCGATTGATGCCGCTACTGCAGTTCCTACCTTAAAATATGAAATTGAGCACTTTTTAGAATTTAAAAAATGATTTACATAGGGGAATATACTCAGGGTTGGACGCTTCGCTTTTTTAAAATAAGAACACTAGCGCCATCTATGCATGGACGTGGCGAAGCTTCACGTAGTGAAACCTAACTTTTTGTGCCATTACATTTTTAGAGGATCAAAAGTAGCGTCTGCTGTGACGTCGGTGCATTTGTATAGGAAGGAAAAAAGTTAAACATAAAAAATGAATAAAGAAAACAAGAAATCGGCAAGGTAAATTTATTGCATGTATTGTGGGGTTTATAATTGAAGAAAAAATGAAGTGAAAAATCAAATCGATAAACATGTCTGGTTATGGTTAGCACAATTCAAAAATGTTATTACTTCTACTTAGGGTTGGACACTTTATGCAATCAGGGTTGGACACTTTGTTAATTATGAATTTGACACAATTTATAAATAAATATAGAAATAAACATTGTCGCACACACACAACACATATTCTGCCAAAGACATTAGAAGAATAGTAATATAATACGTTAAAAATGAACTTAAAAATCGTTTTCAGTAACGTCATAAATAATATTAATTGTCAATTATAAATAATAATGTAAAAATGAAAAATAAACTTGAAAAACGTTTTCAGTAACGTTATAAATGTTATTTTATTTTTTTAACCTTCGATTTTTACAAAGCGTCCAACCCTGAGTATAATGTCAAACCCTGACTAGATTTTTCTTTTTTTTAAAATGATCAGAACTTTATTAATTTTAGACCAATTAATTTACGATCTTCAGCAAAAGTGTTCCTATTTTGTATCTCAAATATATCGCAATTAACTAAATTTATTTTTTTAAAAAGGATTATAAACAAAGTCCAAAACGGTGTCTAACCCTGAGTATATTCCCCTATTAAATCCTTTCTAAATTTTCCCAAACAAAACTTTTTTTTAAAATGCAGACTATTTTTCATAAAAAATGATAAACCTGCCTGTAGAAATGTCGTAAAAAAATTGAAAAAGATGAAGAGTGAAACGAAAATTTTTTGACACACATTTAACTTAAATATGAATTTTTCTTTTTTTTCGGTCGATGTTTGTATAATTTTATATGCATATCACTGATTCAGTGAAAAAAAGGACACGTGAAATTTTCTTTGAAAAAGAGGACACCTGCATTCAACTATAAAGGCAGTATTAAAATATTTCACTTCTATATAATTATATATTAGAATGATTTATTGATGTGAATATGTTTACAATACAATTTATAAAACGATTCAAATCAAATAATCTATTTTTGATGTTTGTTTTAAATTATAAATTAGGTATTTATTTGGAAAACAAATATGTAATTAATGTATTATTTTCTGATAAACTAAAATTAGACAAAACACGTCAACTTAGTAAGCAAATTTTTAGTTGATTTCTGAAAGTGTCACATGTGTCTTACAAATCTAATAACAAATTAACTAATTATTTATGTAAATAATATTTCATAATAAATGTGTGCATATAATTATGAAATGGCTTTTTTTCTTTTATTTGTAAAATGTAATCATCAATGTATAAAAAAAAGTAAATTAAAAAAATTTTTGAATTAAAAAATGAATTATTATTTATTATTAGCATCAATTATGAAGTATTGTGCATCAATTAAATGAATAAATTTTGCAATACAGAAGTTTCTTTAAAAATTTTGTTGAAGAAAATTTTTATTTTAATATAAAATGATATCAATTGATTACTTACAATTTCGATGATTATCGCAAAAGAAAGACACTTTATACATACATCATAAGACGTTGTTTTAAATGGAGATAATTTCATGTAAATTATGATTCTCTTAATTTATTGGAAAAAATAGTTTTGTTTTTTTCATGGTTTTATGTGCATACACACATATGGCATGTATTTATACACTTCTATTCAAAACAATTTTTAGTTCATTAGGGGAAAAGAGGATTGAACCGGACGCACGTAATATCAGTTGTAAATATATGTATTAATTTCTCGATTAATTTGCTATAATTAATCAACTTTCACAACGTTTAATAATTTTATTTATAGTCTAATTTTAAAAGTACCAATTCCTCTACTCAATTGGATAAATGGAAAAACTAGTCTTAAAAGTAATAAATATCTTCAGTACAAAATTAACTTTTAAGAGCAGTAGATTGTGGACTAGCTATTATTCTTACAATTAACTTAAACAATATTTTAACATTAACTAGGCATCATTTTTATTAATAAATTATTTAAATTCTATTAAATTTTGATAATTTTTTATAATTATTTTATAGATGATATAACTGTGAAATATGAAGCAGCTTTAATTAAAATCTGTAAATAAAAATCCAATATATATTTTATGCTCAAAAAATAGTGCATATATATACTTTAAAAATGACTTGTTAAAATGATTAAAGTGTTTAAATTTTATAAAAATATTCATACTTTTGTGAAAGTGTTAAAGGACATATCAAAAAATTTTCCTCCTGTTACTTTACACATCCTTTCAGACCTAATTAACATAAAGTAAAAAACTGTTTTTATTTTGGATGATGCGTTATACCAATTTGCATCATATCTGTAATCATAATAAAATAATTTTTAATCTATAAGAATAACATGCACAAAAACAATTTTTAATAACAACTTAAATGAATTTTTTATTTAATATAATTTTAATTCGGTTTTCTTTATTTAATTATTTTAGTGCTTTCATTGATTAATAATTAAATATATTTATAATTACATTTTTTTACTTACATAGACTGTCTAAACAAGATACTGTGATCAATTAATGTCTGACATTGCAAAAATTTGTTGAATAGTTGAAAAATCTCAGCCAATGTTAAAATCAGGTATGTTATCATAACATTTGGAGTATGTCGATAATCATGAGCCTTAAATATATTTAATGAATTCACTACATAATTTAAAATAATACCTATTATATTTAAACTTTTATTTTTAATTTAATAAGTAGAGAAACATGGGTTAAAACGAGAAGCGGGACAAAACTGAGAATGTATAATATTTCGTTAAGGTGATTATTTTAGTGTTCCAATACCCGTTCTGTCCCCATGCTCCTCTACATATAAAAATCTTTTGATGTGGATTAGCATTAATAATATTCAACGATAATAACAACTATCGAAACTTCTGTTAATATAAAAAAATTATAATAGAGAATTATTTCTACAAATTATTATAATATATATGTATTATATTGAGAAATGTTACAACGAATGATGAAAAACTTAAAACAACCGTAAATAAGGTAATTGATAATAGAAGTCCAAAAGAAAAGGTAAAATTAAGTTGATCTACAAATCTGTATAAATAAAATTATGTTAATATTTGAAAAATAAAAATTGTATATTTGAGCATATAGTTGGAAATACGCCTGACGTGCGAGGAGTGGAAATTTGATGCTGAGTTTAAAGCAAGATATTTTAAGTTAGAAAAAAGTTAGAAACTTGAAACTTAAATTGTAGAAAAGGTGATAAAATTCTACGTCTGAATGTATATGAAGAAAATGTTTTTCTTTTTTTAGCATTTATAACACCGAAAACTAAACTAAACACCAACTAAAAATTATACAATTTTCCTTCTTTCGTACTAATGTTTTTACTAATTTTATTTCCGTGCAGCAACGAGGCGGCGAAAAGTGATCATTGACGACTTAGTTGAAGAGAAAAATGTTCGGACTATTTTTAAAATATTTCAGGGAAATTCAATTTCATGGTTTATTGCAGCAAACCCCGTTTTTATTATAACATTCATATTATTTGCATTGATTACTATTGATCTGTCATTATCGTTGTCCAACGAAAATTGCCTAATTTCGCCACATGGAGCGCTGATAGTCATATCCGGCATATGTTCTCCGTATCATTTAATAAATTCTTGTTTGGCATATTTTTTGATGCAGTAAAAGTTCCTAGTAGGTAACTCGTTAAAAATTTTTTCAAAATTACCGACATCGATTTTCGAATTCCTAAGTCTTTGCTCAATTTTAAATTCATATAAGCTTTCTGAAAAAAATTATTTTATTAATATAAAAAATGTCAGTTATACGTCCGAACGAAATTAAATACCCAGTAAAAAAAGGATTTTTTGAGATAGCAGTTCGGACAATTGAGCAAGCCGTTTGCTCAATTGTCTAAAATGCATTTGGACAATTGGAGTGTTTGTTCAATTATCCAATGCATTATGCCCAATGATCCGCAATATTTCTCGTGTCTAAAAAGATGCTAAAATAGTATGAAAAACTATTGAAACATTGAAAAAACGGTAGAAAATGCATAATTCTTGATATATACAGAAAAAGAAAGTATAAAAATACCTCGATGGAGGAAAAGGAAAGAGTTTTCCGAAAAATCACTTTTTAACTGACAGTATACTGCTGTACTTGACATTTTATGGGTAAAAAAGAGAAGATTATGATAATGAGTGATACTTCATTATCGACTCTCAATATTTGTCGAATGGTAAAATATAATAGTAGATTTCTTTCTGATTGGACAATTGAACAAACACTCCAATTGTCCGAATGCATTTTAGACAATTGAGCAAACGGCTTGCTCAATTGTCCGAACTGCTATCTCAAAAAATCCTTTTTTACTGGGTACATTATTATTCAAAACAATTATTAATGAAGGTATATTTTTTTTACCCACTGAAATTATTTTTTGATGATGGTATTATCAAAGTTTTTCCTCTGAACTTTTCTGCTGGAAAAATAAAAATTTCCATTTTATATTTTTTTTAAATATATTTTTACCATAATCAATACTTAAAATTTTTTTAATTTCAAAACTTATTATTTAACTACTGAATGGTTTCTTATTAAAATACAAAGCGCTTATAGTCATGTTTATAATTGATATTTAAAATAATTTACCGTCATTGTTTTCATTGCCACTTTGATCATCACCAACAGAAAATGATTCCTCTGCAATTTAACGAAATTCAATGTTTTTCTTTTAACAAAATAGTTTTATGTATTTAGTTTTAAACTTATCATATTCGACCTATGTCTGCTGAAGAACTTTTGTTATTACTAATAATCAGGGTGTCCAGCGATTATTGAAAAAAAAAATTCAAGAACTTTTCAAGGTTTTTCAAGGTCCAAAATAATTTTTTTCAGGTCTAATTTCAGCATAGTAACTATGAAAATATTGTTTATTTATGATGGAATAAGCTTTATTTATATTGTTCATATTTTATACTTTTTGCTACAAAAATAAATTTTGATTGGCTGAAATCTATTCTAATAAAATAATCTACCTTATTTTATTTCATCCTAAAGTATGAGAAACTGTCCAGTTGTGCTAGATTCAACGTAGCATCTAGATGGGAAAACTGGACAGGCTTGAACGTGGGATGTAACGCTAGCAACGTCAAGATTTTGTACAGGTCTTCTGTCTAGTCCTTATCTAGTAAAATAAAGTGATTCTTGCCAGTTCCACGATAATAAAAAAGCAGTTTCTACCTACATAGAATATAACTGATATTTATTGTAAATATAAAAGAATATTTTTCAATTTTACTCTTTCGTTTGTATTTGTATTATTGTAAAATTTTAAATTATAAAAATTAAAAAAAAAGGAAGCCAACACTACGCGGTATTCCCAAGCGGTCACCCATCCAAGTACTAACCGCGCTCAATTGTGCTTAACTTTGGTGATCGGACGAGAACCAGTGAATTCACAGTGAAATGAGCGTTGGCTGAAATTATAAGTTTTACAAATTGTCCAAATAGTTAACTCTCAGGCAAGCTCTTTTGTCTCATAGTCTCACAGGTTGTCTCTCAAAATATACAATCTTTATATAATAAATAATAAAACTTGACAATTTTGAGTGAATTTTTTGTGATTGCAAGAATATATGCAATTAGTTATCAATACACAAGTACGATTTTTGTAGTGAATGTTTTTATTCACTTAATAGTACGCTATAGTTATTTTGCCCTGTATATAAAAATAATTTACATTGTCTGATAGCAACAATTCTGTAAATTTGTTAATTAACATTAGTTTCAATATTGCTAGTATTAACATGAAATAAGAATATGAGAGAAATAATAAAAAAATAAAGAAAAGAGTTACAAAGAGAGTTATAGATAAAAATAATACAAAAAAATTTTGTTCATATAAAATTTTGGGTGCAGTTCCGAATAGCACATACCTCTGATTTCGATAAAACTTGGTATCCCTACGTAATTTGGTGCGCTGATTACGAAAATCATAGTGAAAATTGGCGGAAATTTAATTATCATGGTAAAAACCATAAAAAACACCATAAAATCATGGTTTTTTTCGATTATCTCGTAAAAAACAAAAAACTTCGAAAAAAGTTTTAGACGAAAGTTGTAGATCTCTAAAAAACACACATTTCATGTTTTATGCATTTTTTACCAAAAGTCATTATTTTTCGAGAAAAACGCAAAATAGTAAACACGGCCTTCGGCCGCGTAAGGTACTGCTCGCTTCTCTTTTTAAGAAATCTTGGCGAGAGGGGGTGGATGTGTCCGAAAGTAATTTGCAGAAATTATCATATTCACCATTACTCAGGATCCAACGAATTCCGCAAAATACTTTCGGCCATATCCACCCCCTCTCGCCAAGGTTTTTTTAAAAAGAAAAGCGAGCAGTACCTTACGCGGCCGAAGGCCGTGTTTACTATTTTGCGTTTACCGCTGCTGTAGACTCCACCCCACAATTTCTGCAAATTACTTTCGGACACATCCACCCCCTCTCGCCAAGATTTCTTAAAAAGAGAAGCGAGCAGTACCTTACGCGGCCGAAGGCCGTGTTTACTATTTTGCGTTTTTCTCGAAAAATAATGACTTTTGGTAAAAAATGCATAAAACATGAAATGTGTGTTTTTTAGAGATCTACAACTTTCGTCTAAAACTTTTTTCGAAGTTTTTTGTTTTTTACGAGATAATCGAAAAAAACCATGATTTTATGGTGTTTTTTATGGTTTTTACCATGATAATTAAATTTCCGCCAATTTTCACTATGATTTTGGTAATCAGCGCACCAAATTACGTAGGGATACTAAGTTTTATTGAAATCGGAGGTATGTGCTATTCGGAACTATATCCAAAATTTTTATTAAAAATATAAAAATTATTTAATTATTTAATTAATTATTGGTTTTGTTAAATATTATAAAAATACATTATATATAAAGAAGCTTAAAGCAAAACCTAATCTGAAAAATGTAAAAACAGCGGTACTATTTGTGTTAATTAAGGCTTGTTTAAAACTATGCTATGTGTAAAAATTTTTCATTAAACCCATTGAATAAAGGTCTACTTTCAAAAAGCCAAAATTTCGAAAATTCATAACTAAAAAATTTTGCTAATTGTACAAAAATAATAAAATACGTATTTAATGTTTTTCTACAAAGAACGAGAATAAAATATATTTAAACGAATTTAGAAGGTCATACGTGAATTTCACGTGTAATCGCTCATATGCATTTATTTGATATAGTTCTGAAATTTTGTATTTGGAAAGTTTTTTCAAAGTTATATAGAAATTGTATGTTAAATGGGTATATTCAGTTAAATGAAAATACTGTTAAGTGAATAATCGAATAAATAAAAATTAATAAATTCGATAAAAGAATAATTCACAAACAACAAATAAATAAATCTGATGTATAAAGTTCAGTTAAATATAGAAATTATATTGAATCAGAATTTATTTAAATAAAAAATCGTACACATGAAAATGCAAAGCAAAAATTTTAAAGCAGTAAAATTCTCTTCAATAAATATAAAAAATGTACACTTTAACTTTTGCCAACGACTTCTTTTTAGTTTCATGATTGTTTACTGCTTTTAATATTTGTCTATAAAAAAATGATAAAAATAATAACTTTTAGAACATTAAAATCTACATTTTTTTTAAATTGAAATTTTAAAGCAGAAATCCGTATCAAATAAAATTTTTTAGAAATACTTGGATACATTAATAATTC